CCCCCCCAGTGTGGGTGGCAGCAGGCTCCCTCCCACCTTTGCAGTGCCTGTGGAGGACGTCCAGAGCGGCAATCAGGAACTCGTGGGCGTCCTGCTGCTCGTACCCTGCCAGGTGGCGCGCGTGAGTCCACACCAGATGCAGTAGTTTGTATGGAATGTGGGGGGACCGGTGCCCAGAGTAAAACTGCTCAGGGTGAAGAGGGGGGAGGGAAACACTCGTCATCAACAAAGGCTATACTCTGAACACAAGCACACATGACTTTAAGAATTAAAACAACAAAAAACAATACATAGACAGCTGCCTGGGATTATGGCCATTCTAATAAAAATGACTCAATTTATTTTTTCCCTATAAACTGCTTTTATCTCGACTCTCAACGCTGAGTCTACACGTGGTCCTCTCCCTTCTCACCATGTAGGTTTCTATAAATCAAAACCGAGTTACTTCTGACTCATAACTCTATATACAGTATCTGAAGCTGTAAATCTTTATAGGGACGGATAGCCTTGTTCCCCCACCCCCCCCAATTAGTGGCTGGTGTGTTTGAACCGTCACCAGAGTGATAAGCAGTCCACGCGCACCCAACAGTGGTTTCTGCAGGTAGGTATGTCTTAAAGATTGCTAGAACTTGATTACATGAAGTCAAATATATATACATATAAATAACTTGACTTGCCCAACATTGATTTACCCCAAGAACTAGCTACACCAAATTGGGCATTCATTGCCGACACATCTGGAATAATGCCGGAAGGATTATGACTCAGAGCACTGCTATGAACACACACCATTCAATCCAAGGCGAGCCAGCAGCACAGCCTTCTTGCGGTAAGTAAGGTTAGCTACAGCTCACTCCGGAGCCTACCAGCCATCTCAACGAGGCAGACTTCAGAGACGCCAGCCCAGCAGCACACCTCCCACCCTGCAGCTCCATCACTAGGTAAGAATCCAGGTTTATTCTTTATTTGACTAGTTAGATAGGAGAGCAGCTCCAAGTCTTTCAGACTTTACCTTAACAAGAGGAGACGTACAGAATGCTAGATGATAAACTCCACAAACAGCCATGGAAACAAAGTGCCCTGGTAACCAATTGTACTATTATTAACCACTAACAGTGGAATTGGCTTTGTTTCAAGTTCCAAAGGGCTTACACACACTCACCATACTCATCCACTTCCTATTACATGAAGCAGTTTACAAGGAAAGACTGAGGTGGACAAGAAAGCAAGAAACACCAAATTCCTAAGTCGCCTTATGGATGTGCCGCTGAGTACGGAGGTCAGAAAGGTGAAAGAGGAGAAGAGGACGGTCAGAAACATACCGCTATGCTCATTTTATAGAAGGAACTTGACATCTCAGAAATCACGCGCTAACCCTAACACAAGACAGTGAAGGAGTGTCTGAAGCACACAAAACAAAAACAAACTGTTTTTCTGGATTCCAACCAGCCAACCAGGACCACTGAGTCGATTCTGACTCACAGCGACTGTATAGCAGGGGCTCCCCACCTGGGAGTCGACCTCTTCACATTTACGACATAGCAATGCATGGAAGCATGCGTGCAGAGTTACAGGGCTGGTCCCAACCAGAGCCAAACTGACCCCCTCCAGGGAAGTGGGTTTGGCGGAGAGCAGGTTGGGGAGAGGTCCCAGCATGCCACACCCACATGGAAGCAGACTGGGAGGGAGGAAGAGTAAGAGTTGGACTGGGCCCCACGCCAGCACCTGACGCTCAGAGGATGGTGTCCCTGCTGGGAGCTAATGGGACACAGAGGGGACTGGGCAAATGACAACAGCGCATATCACGCTGTCCCCTTCCTGGAGCAGACTGTGACAGAGGACATTTCTGGGGTCATACGGTTGGGAAGCAGTGTGGTCTAGACCCCCCAAAATGGAGCGAATCAATAGGAGCACACCTGGATAAGCAATCTGGAGGAGAAAACAACCGGGCTGACTGTTCAGGGGGGCAAGGGAGAGGGGAAGTTGGGAGGGGGGGGGGGCAAGGAAGTAGTGTTAACAAACTCAGGGACAAGGGAACAAGTGGTCCAAAATCGGTGGGTGTAGGAGGCCTGGTAGGGCTTGAGCAAGGGTAATGTAACCGAGAGGAAATGCTGAAACCCAAATGAATGCTGAGCATGATAGTTGGACAAGAGGAAACTAAAAGGAAATAGATGAAAGAACTAGGGTATAAAGGGCATTTACAGAAGTCTAAATACAGGCATGTACACATGTAAATATATTTATTTATGAGGACGAGGAAACAAATCTATGTGCATATATTTATAGGTTTAGTACTAAGGTAGCAGATGGACATTAGGCCTCCACTCAAGTACTCCCTCAATGCAAGAACACTTTATTCTATTAAACTGGCATTCTATGCTGCTCACCTTCATGACATGATCACTGAAGACAAAGCGGGTGGGTGCACAAGCAAATGCAGTGAAGAAAGTTGAGGGTGCCCAGCTATTAAAATATATAGCGTCTGGGGTCTTAGAGGCTTGAAGATGAACAAGCAGTCATCTTGCTGAGAAGCAATCAGGCCCACATGGAAGAAGCACACCAGTCTGTGTGATCACCAGGTGTCAAAAGGATCAGGTTACAGGCATCAAAGAAGGGAAAATCCTATCATCATGTGCTCTCCTTCCCGATACGATGGCTGAGGACTAATGGGGGCATAAGCAAGTGTGGTGAAGAAAGCTGATGGTGCCCAGCTATCAAAGGATATAGCATCTGGGGTCTTAAAGGCTTGAGGGTAAACAAGCGGCCATCTAGCACAGAAGCATCAAAGCCCACATGGAAGAAGCACACCAACTTGTGTGATCACGAGGTGTCAAAGGGATCAAGTATCAAGCACCAAGGAACAAAAATCACATCATTGTGAATGAGGGGGAGTGGGGACCCAAAGGCCATTTGTGGGCAACTGGACATCCTCTTACTGAAGGGTCTCGGGGAGGAATCGAGCCGGTCAAGGGGCAGTGTAGCAATGATGAAACATACAACATTCCTCTAGTTCTTAAATGCTTCCTCCCCACAACTATCATGATCCTAATTCTACCTTACAAATCCAGCTGGACCGGAGGATGTACACTGGTACAGATAGGAACTGAAAACACAGGGAATCCAGGACAGATAATCCCCTCATGACCAGTGGTGAGAGGGGTGATACTGGGAGGGTGGAGGGAATGTGGAGTAGAAAGGGGGAACCGATTACAAGAATCTACATATAACCTCCTCTCTGGAGGCTGGTCAACAGAAAAGTGGGTGAAGGGAGATGGACAGTGTAAGCTATGACAAAATAATAATGACTTGTAAATTATCAAAGATTGATGAGGGGGGGTGGAAAGGGTAGGGAGGGGGAGAAACAAGGAGCTGATGTCAGGGCTCAAGCAGAAAGCAGATGTTTTGAGAATGATGGCAACAAATGTGCAAATGTGCTTGACACAATGGATGTATGTATGGATTGTGATAAGCGTGTACGAGCCCCCAATAAAATGATTAAGAAAAACTGGTCATAACTTTCAAATTAGAAATTGCGTAACTTGTAATAAGAAAAAAATAAAAAGATTTACAGCCTTGAGGGGACAAAATGAAATGGCAACAAAAATAATTTGATGGTTGGGGGTGTCCCCACGACATGAGGAACTGTATGAATGGGTTGCAGCATGAGGGAGGCTGAGAACCATTGCGCTATCGAGTTTGAGACTAAATCTTCAAGGGAGCAGACAGCCTAATCTTTCTCGCTCAGAGCAGCTAGTGAGGTTAAAGTGCTCATCTAGAGGTTAACTCATCTAATGCTTTTACCACAGCACCACCAGGGCTCCTGTTCAGATACTAGCAATGGTTAGTTAGAAACTGACACCAAAAGTTCTACGACTGATAACAGCTTCCAAAGTATGAGACGCTCAGGGAGTAAATGTAACAGGATATGTACAAGCTTTGTATACTGTATGCCCAAACCCACAGAACACGGATGAGAGAAATTTAAAACCTGAATGCACAGAGAGCTGCTGGAGACAATTCTGCCCACACAGAAATCTGTACATGAACACTACAGTAACTTTTATTTATTATCTCTACAGACTATACAGGACCAAATGTCTTTCAACTTGAACTGGATAACTAAGCCACGGTACCTAGACACAATGAAACAACAGGCAGCAAATTACCCAACAAGAAGGATCGGCCCCGAATTGTACACAATGCAAGCTAGACCCTAACTCAATTCATGTGGCACTTGGGCTTGGACGTGGAAACAAAGAGACAGAAGACAAAGCATAGTTGTTGGGTAAGAAAGGCTAGCTCCAGAGCTTCTGTCAACTCTACATAAATGTTTCATAAACCTGAGCCGCCGAAGACAGGTGACTTTATCACGTAACTGTAACCCCGTTGAAACGAATCAAATCCATGAATGTAAGAGACATGGCACTAACACATCTTTCCCTGCGTACTGCCTTCCTCCCACCAACCCAAGTGTCCCTGGGCTTGCTCACTGACTCAACCCAGTGTCACGTTGCACACCTTCCAGACACCGGTCAGACTAACAAGGGCTTGGCAAACAAATTCTGAAAAGAACCAGTCAACAAGTACTTTTTACTAGTCAGCTCTAAGGACTCTGTCCCCAACCACTACTACTGAACTCTGCCACTGCAGCACAAAAGCTGCCACTAACCAGTATGGAAATCACGGGCTGTGGCGAAGTGCCAGGGAAACAGAGTCCGCTGCACTGTCTGACTCCTGTGCAGATCTGGATGCACACCCAGAGCCGCTCCGTTACTTGTAGGGCCAGCCCTCTGCTCTGACAGGTCTCTAAGTTGCTGCAGCTTAAAGACCCTTGGTCGGAGGTCAGTGAGCAGGAAGTGCTGAGGCTCCAGCAAAACATGCATGACCCCAGGCTGGAACTGTGTCACTCTCATGGTTGTGAGGACACAGGTAGATCAGGAATTCTGGTCAGGAAGTGCGAAGGACAGAGGCTTCCTAGTTGAAGTAGTTACAGAATTTCATGTCACCTCGAAGATATATAAAAGTGTAGGGGTGGTATTCAACCTCTCCAACATAAGGAGGGCTCTGGGAATCTCCCCTTCTCTCTCTCTCTGCCTTCACCTTCCGGCTGGCTGACCCTGATTGCTGCCCGGGCCCTGTGATGCATCCACCACCATTGGATCCACGTGACTAGAGCCATCAATTCTGCATCACTGCATGCAGCTGCCTAAGTCTGAAGAGGGACTTATGGACTAGTACTGGACTTATGGACTTGATCTGGACTGGGCTTGGATGTTTTCCTGATCTATAATGACTTCTTGATATAAAGTTCTTCCTTACACGTATAGGAGTGTCACTGGATTTGTTTCTCTAGTCAACCTGGTCTAACATACTGGCGTACCATGACTAAAGCAGAGCTTGTGATGCACCCTGGGACAGGAGGTCTGGCCAGAGGGCAGTCTACTCTCCTGGAGCAAAAAGCCACAAGCAGCACGAGCACTTCCACATCACCCACCCATTCCATTTAAGGGCAGCACTGGGGTCAGGAGTAACTGCACAGGACACTGGTGCCACGTTACCAGTTAGTACTCTGTGTGCATCTTCCTCCCTGTCCACTCTGCACCCCAAGTCTCAAACGCCTCTATTCCCTTTGGAAAATATATACCTTCCATAGTAAATGCACAAACTAGTCTGTACTCACTACATCATTAGCCTTCTTCCACGTGTCTGATTTTCAGAAGCAGACGGCCAGGCCTTCCTCTCTCTTTCTAGTCTATCTTAGTCTGGGCACTCAGCTGAAACATGTGCTACATACAGGCCTCCACTGACAGGTGGGTGGGAGCTGCGCAGAAGGTGGGGGTGCACATGCAAGTAGAGAAGGCTGTCACTGAACCACCAATTCTCTCTTCCTTTGCTGTAGGCCAAATAAATAATTAACAAACGGTTGCAGAGAAGCCTCCGTGAGAGGACAGTAGCCGAACCTCCTGGAAGAGCGAGGACATCTCGCAGACCAGACAAGAGCTGGGGCTCTGCATCTCACACTTGTGTCGGTCCGAGAGGAAGAAGTCTCGCAGGAGTGGCGTGTGGGTGAGCGCCTGCACAATGCAGTTCATGAAGCATGTGTTCCCGAGGTTGATCAGTCCTCGCAGGCCTAGGAAGGAGCAGGCAGGGAGCGCCGGTTACCTCTGCTCTTTTTCAGTCGTGTTTCCTGCTCCGTCACTTGCTTTTACTCACTCATTCAACAAAAAGAACAGGAAGAAAGAGGAGTTTTCCTAACATTCCTATCACTTAAACTGCTTGATGACGATCACCACCATCACACACACTTCACTTCAGCCTTCCTGCTTTGGGCAGAATTACTCAAGCAATTCTCTGCATTAACTGTCAGGTGGGGGAAAAAAACAAACAAACAACACATGCATTCCTTGTTTCCTAGAAAACTTAATGACCGTTCAAAACTCCAACATGGATCTTTCTGCGGCCTGCAAATCACTGCGTCCAGCTTCAGCCAGCCCCAAGTTGGCTGAGTCCGACCGTCCCAAGGGCTGGCAGGGCTGTGTCTTTCCAGGCACCACACCGTACCCCACGCCATTCCCAGGCCCTGGCAGCAAGCAGATGTTGCACTCTCAAGGCCTTATGAACTCACTTTTCCACGTTTACTTCTGAGCCCAAGGAAGCAAACCCGACCCCTCAGGCAAGCGAGCAGACGGAGAGCCTACCTATGGTGCAGTTGGAGGTGATCTTTCTTCGCTTTGGGTTGTGCTTCAGCAGTTCAAGCTCTCGCTTGGTTGGTTCCCAAGTGGAAAACTTCTCCCCAACACCTAAGCAGACAGAGCAGTGCCAGGTGCTGTTAGCAACCTTCTCTGTAATCATGCTCATAGAGAAAGGCTGTGAGGAAACACCACCTAGCGGGTTCCTGTAATGCTAAGAGGCGTGTCCCTACGGCCAATCTTCTTAAAGCCCTTCTATGCCGAGATGTCTGAAAAGAATGCTCACAGGAAGCTCCGTTAGAAAATGACCTGGGAAAAAGCTGTCCATCCAGAAGGGGACAGAACCTCCAACTAGAGCCATGCTGACACGAGTGCCAATATGTGGTTCCCTCACATCTAGGCCTTGACTAGAGATCCTCCCACTATCATCCACTTCTGAGCAAACTAAAACAAGATGATTGAAGGAAATCATCTATTTCACCTTAATGTCTACCCTGATTCAGGTAAAAGGTGTCTGCTGTGCATAATTCAATAAATTTAAAAGAGATGGTGTCTTGTTGCCAGATGAAATTTTAAAACAATTTCCTCCATGCTCTTCCACGGCATGAGTTCACTGTATGGCACCAGTAATACATTATAGGCAGACCAATGTTATTCCATGTTTTGAGAGAGGAGAAAGGAAGATAAAGTCATACAGACTGCTCTCCAGAAGAGATTGTTAAATACAAGTAATTTTGATTACTAAAATAATCTATTTAGTATCTTCCTTCCTCAAAAAAATGGGTGTTGCTGCCGAAGCAAAATAATGAAGGCAGAGTCCATTAAGCACACTCCAGGAAACATGTTCTCTCTGTAGACAGAACTAAGAGAGCTACATATATAATGGGCCTGTATCAGAGAGATACTCATCAGTCTACTGGGTAAGCAGCATTTTATCTACTATCATTGTAAACTGACAATAAGCATTTGTGGGAAATGAAAACTAAAGTACTACTAATAAAAATCAGGGAAACCAAGATGAGTTATGAAAGAAAATGTTCACATAATGCTTTTGTGTAATCTCTGTGTGTATGCCCCAAGAGTTTATGAACCATGGAGAGAAAGCTATTTTCTCTAGCACCAGTGTGTCAAGGACATTTTTCAAGGGTAGCTGGTACCAGATCTATTGTGCACCAGTTGAAGTGTGGCCCATGCACTGTACTGTAGGCTCTCCCATAAAGTAACAGGCCCAGCACAAAGGCACCATGCCACAGCAGCAGGCTGGCATTGTTCTCAGCCTGGCAGAGCTCCACTTCACCTGGGAAAAAGCTCCAAGGAGCAGAGCACTTTGCACCTGTGCTGGCAGTCATTGTGCCTGTTATGGCTTCCATACTCCATGCTCTTAGCCAAGTGAGGCTCTCCAACCTCAGCTACGAATCAGTCAGCTACCTTCCAACCCACCACTTGTCTTGTGAGTCACTGGTAGTTTCCTTCAGTGAGGTTTGCCAACGACAGGTATGACTGTGGGACTGAAGGCTTAAGGTACAAATCAAGGAGGCAAATGCAAGCCAATCCCAACCTTGCATTTTCCACGCTTTCCGTTGTTCCTCTTTGGCAATGATCTCCATGTCTTTGTCATATATGTAGTCCTGACACAAAAAGCAGTAAATGCCTCCATGCATGAGGTCTATGGCTGTAAAGAGAATGACAACATTTAATCCAACGTACCATTTCCCAACTCTGAAGTCATAAAATTCTGTTAAAGAGGGGTTTCTCTCACACCAGAGTACATAGCCTGAGCAGCTGGTAAAGGACTTCTCTGCTCTGAGGGTTCAGGCCACTTGAAGGAGTCTGAAAAGGGAGCTGCAACCACACTTTGTGAAACAACCAATACTCCAACACCTGGGCAATCATTGTGAATCGCTACAAGCAGCAGTCAAGGTAGGACCAAGTAATTAGCTCTTGCTCCCACAGGACTGCAGTGGCACCACTTGGGTGATCTGTGACCAGAGATATACCTACCCCCACCCTCTCCACACACACCCTAACAGACCTGTTCGCAGAGGCATGGCATGTCCTTCCACCAGGCAAGTTGGTCAAATACTGTTCTACCGCCAGTACTATGCCTCTTTTATCTCTTTTTCTACCTAACCCACCCTACTGGTGCCCCCGCTGCTTCCTTCCTCCCTCCTCTTTCTATGTTCTTTTTTTTTAAATTATGAATAATTTTATTTATTTTATTATTTTTTAAATCATTTTATTAGGGGCTCATACAACTCTTATCACAATCCATACATACATCAATTGTGTAAAGCACATTTGTACATTCATTGCCCTCATCATTCTCAAAACATTTCCTCTCTATTTAAGTCCCGGGCATTAGGTCCTCTCTTTTTATGTTGACTGGAGTGGGCACCCCACCTTTGCTCCCTGCCACCCCACCCTACTGTCTGCTGCCTTGACCGTGACCTACAGTCTGAGTTAATTAAAGAACCTTCAGTATACTAACTGGTCCACGAAAGTGAGTTGAACTGAGCCCTCTGTACTGCTGTGTGGACTAATTAGCCGTTATATTCCTTCTCGCTGTGTATAAAATCGTATGTGTCCTGGTTTTGTTTCTCTAAAGGACCCTGTGTAACACATTGTGGAACATTATTAAGCAGAATAGTTTACTCTATTCTAGTATATAGTAATATTCTTATATTATTGAATCAGAATTTCAAGAAGAGACCCCGAAAATGCACTGAGAAACTGTCAAAAGATAAGTTGGTAGAAACCTTCACTAATACCATAAAAGGTGTATTCAAGTAACCTAAGGAACCCAAGATATGATCGACATTCCCCCGCCCAATTAAATCACCAAAACATATTATAATCAAACTTTCCTAAAACTAAAGACCAAAAAAACCCTAAAAGCAGTTTGGGTAAAACAAGTCACCTAATAAGGGAGAATCAATAATATTAAAACTGACTCCTCAGCAAAAACCGTGCAGGCAAGAAGGCAATGGAAACACATGAAGTTCCTAACATAATTAATAAAAGTGATATACAGCAAAATTGTCTCAAGTGATAGTAAAATCATGACATATCCACATGGAAATTTGTAAAACTCAGGCCAACCTTACAAGAAATGCTAAAGGGAGTCGTTAAGACAGAACCGCAACAGATAGCCTGAGGTTAAGGCGTGGAATCAACATTACCCAGAAATTAATCCAGAGACAACAACCAAATATCAAAACTACTGCTATGGTGTTAAACGCAGCCCCTACAGAGGGTTTCTCAGGCTGTACATTTCCACAAGCGCAGATCGCTTCATCTTTCGCTCATGGAATGGCGGGTGGGCTGAAATTGCCAACCTTGGTCAGCAGTCCAATGCTTATCCAATAAAGCCACCAGCTATAAATGTCCCCAAAGTGAAATAAACCTGAAAGACTGAACTAGGAAACCAGGGATATCAAACGGTTTATGATGACAACTACAAAACAAAAAGGTGTTGCAGATCTTCCAAATAGAGGTCTGGAAAATAAAATAGAATGGACACTATAACCTTGGGAGGTAATAATAAATTACAGAGTGACCTCAAAGAAAACTAAGAAACTTTCTCATAAAAAAATTATAAAAATATTGGGAGGGTAGAGGGAGAGTGGGTAGGAAAGAGGGAACCGATTACAAGGAACTATATGTGAACTCCTCCCTGGGGGACGGACAACAGAAAAGTGGGTGAAGGGAGACGTCGGACAGGGCAAGATATGACAAAATAACAATTTATAAATTATCAAGGGTTCATGGGGGAGGGGGGTTTGGGGAGGGAGGGGAAAAATGAGGACCTAATGCTGGGGGCTTAAGTGGAGAGGAAATGTTTTGGGAATGATGAGGACAATGAATGTACAAAGGCGCTTTACACAATTGATATATGTATGGATTGTGATAAGAGTTGTATGAGCCCCTAATAAAATGATTTTTAAAAAAAGAAAAAGAAAAAAAAATAAATAAATAAAAGAAAATGATGATGGCAAAATATGTATAAATGTGCTTGACACAATGGAAGGATGGATGGATTGTGATAAGAGCTATAAGAGCCCCCAATAAAATGATTTTTTTAACTTAAAAAAATTATAAAAATATTATGAAAACATAAAGGTTCAGTAAACACTAAAAACAGCAAGGAAATAAGAAAAATCATAAACAAAATGAACATAGCACAAAAAAATGTACAGAACAAAGAAAATCAGCGCCCTGATGCACACCACTCTATCCAATGTCCTAGCAAGTACAATAAGGCAAGAAAGGGAAATTAAAAGTATCCCAATTGGCAAAGAACAAATGTAAAGCTATTTTTATTTGCAGATCCAGTACATAGAAAAACCCATAGACTAAGAAAAGTACTGGAACTAACAGATTCAACAAAGTACAAGATCAAAATACAAAATCCATCAGATTCTTTCACACTAGCAAAGAAAACTTTGAAAAGGACATCAGGAAAACAATACCATTTACACTAGCCACTCAAAAGATGGCATACCTAGCGATGATTCTAACGGAGATATAACAAGCTGTACAAGGAAAACTATAAACACTATAGGAAACCAAAACAGATTCCCATAAATGGAGCAATCTGCAATATACATGGATAAGAAGACTTAAGGCGATGAAAGTGTCAACTTCATAGCGAAGGGAAAGAGATCCCAAATAGGCAAAGCACTACCAAAGAACAAAGTAGGAAGCCTCACGCTCCCACAATCTCAAGACCTGCTGCACAGCCATGGTAGTTGGGGTGGAGTGAACCTTCTGCTCCAGTCTCTGAAACTCCCACCAAACAGCTGGGTGGGACGACGCAAATGGGGTGTGTGTAACAACACTACTGGAGGGGATAGGTCAGCTTTTGTTATCACTGCCCTGCCTGTAAGGATGTGCCGTCTCTAAGGCGGCAGCAGCAGCAGCAGGAGAAACCCTGAAGACCTTTAGCAGAGCACATTCCAGATCTCCAGCTGAAGAGGCTGCTGAGATGAGAAGCATCAGATCGTGGTGCAGCAACCAGAGGAGCAGTGCAAGGGCTATAGGGTGCCTTCTCCTAAACTGTGGACCTGTGGAAGAGTGACAGACTATATTCTTGGCCTACAGAAGCAAAGGTCATCGGGGACCATGTGGTTCAGAGTGAGGACCAGAGATTTGGCTGCTGGCTGAGGAGACTAATGACTGTTATCTTTACTATTTGCTGATCCTGACTTGTGGTAACCCAACTCCCCTAATAAATCCTCTTAATTGTTGAGTACTGTCTGAGTTCTCTAGGGCCAGTGCAATGAATTATGTAACCCAGCATAGATGTAGCGTGCCATGGAAGGAATGGTTGGTGTCAGAATAGGTAATGAAGGATGGAGCAGGGAGGAATGTCTGAGCTCTGCCTCATGGCACTAGGGAGTCCAGAGGAAGTCAGATATAGCCCTCCATTGCCATTTATTGCAATAGTGAGATCACTGATGCTTTACAGTAAGTTTATGGGGGCAATGCCCTAAAGAAGTATAGCTTACAAATAGACACCTCGTTTTAAGGGCCAAGACAATGAATATGAAGCCTACAGTGGTAGATCATCCAGATAAATTTGTGAGCAAAAAAATATATTTTCAATGCCTGACAGAAGACAACTGACAATAGCAAAAATAATAGTCAACATAATAAATATCTCAATTGGTTCAATAGCTTACATAATTCTGACTGAAAAATTAAAGTGGAGCACCTTTTCTTGTTAACGGATGCCAGGACTGTTGCACCTAGATCTATCGTAAATAAGAGCAGTTTCCAATGAAAATTTCAAATCAGTGCGATCAAGATCCTAAAACTGTAACAGGAAATGAAACATGGCTTTACCAGTTGTAACAGCTTTATGATCCTGAAGACTGGAATTAATACAGTCAACACCAAAGTGGAGGTCCTGGAGCAAAGGTCATTACAACAACTTTATAGGATGCACAAGGCATTTTGTTTATTGAGACTTTCTGGAGGGCCAAAGAAGAACAATTACTTTATGAGAGTGTTTTCGGGAAGTTAGAGCTTTAGCAGAGGAACAAATGGAAACCTTCAGCAGAGTGTCCTTCACCACCATGACAAATGTTCCTGCTCATTCCTCTCATCAAACAAGGGCAATTTTTGGTTTCCATGGGAACTTGGAAGGCACACACACACCTTACAGTCCTGATCTGACTCCTGACTTCTTTTTATTTCGTAATCTTAAACTTTAAAGGGTACCTGTTTTTCTCAGTTAATGTAAAAAACTGCATGATGCAATTAAATTCCTACTAGGACCCTCAATTCTTTAGGGATGGACTAAATGGTTAGCACCATTGCTTTCAAACGGTTTCTTCAGCTTGATGAAGCTTATGCTAAGAAATTAAGTTTATTTTTTATCTTCTATTTCCATTTATCCACGTACTTTCTGAAGTCTCCTTGTATAACCAGTGTTCACTGTCCCCTCTATGAAGCACCTTCCCTTCCTGAGATGTTCAGGTGATGTTGCCTGACTTGAATCTTAGCTACTCACAATAAACATATTCTACTTATTTTTGGTGTTTCTTCATGCATTTACCTTTCTGACAAAGGTTTCATATCAACTTCAAAACACTGAAGCAAACCCAGTGCCATCAAGTCGGTCTATTCCGCGCAAAGTTACTGTCTCAGAAACCCCTGAGGGCAGATCCACCTGGTCCTCGAGACAGGGCTGCTATGAGTCGGAACTGACTCGATGGCAGTGTGTTTGGACACCTCCTTCATCCCACAGGGCTTCCACGGCTGGAAAACTTTGGGAAGCAGACTGTCACATCTTGCTCCCCAGAACTGCCATCTTTGCAGGTGATAGCCAAGCACCTAACCAGGATGTCACCAGGGATCCTTAAAACAACACTACAGCTCAGTAATTTACCACTTAAGATTACGTAAATAACACGAACTTCAAAAGCTTAAAGGGCAACCCAAGTGGAAAGAGCTCAATATAGCTCTTCCAGCACCGCTATGAAGATCCACAGGGGAGTACAGATATTTCAGCTGAAAGAGAAGTGGACTGTAAATAAAACAGTAAATATTACAAATATCTCAAGCCAAGTTGAGAGGAATGCCTATCTCTGGAGGCCTGGCAGAACATCTCAGGGGCAGGCAACTTACCCAGGTTGTGTCGTTTCGACTTTGCATGTTCATGAATATGTTTCTTTGTGAAGCAGCCAAAGAAGACACAATAGAGGCAGGAGTGGAGCCTGTTCAAATGGACACCACAGACGTGACAGACGCATGACTTGGCCTGAAATCAGAGGAGAAAATTGATGAACAGCACGCAGTAGGGCAGTTCTCAGAGCAGCAGTCATGCAAAGGGATCCTCAGTGTGTGCTGTGACTGGAGGATGGGCATGTGGACTAACACTAAATGCTCCTACACTGAAGTCCATTTTACAAAATCTTAATCTCCCCCTACAAGGCTATTCTGTAACAGCTCTAATATCCTTAGTTACCGAAATTGCTTCTATGAAAATATACCTAAGTATATGCCACTTAACATCTGTCAGGACAACATCTGAGCAGATAAACTCACTGGTCTCAAAGTTTCCTTTCTAAAGAGAAAAGCTTTGCTCCTTTGACTATTTCCTTCTGGTTTAGAGATCCCAGACCCAGACTCTTGCAGCACAAGACCCTGGTGGGAGAGAGGCAGGTTGAGGCAGAGGGCTGGGGCTCTGTGTGCTTGGTAAGTGGTGGCAACAGCAGGCTTTTCCTATTGCTCAATCAAGTGGTGTAGATGGGAAAGACTGGTGACAAGGATGACTGAAAGCAGGCACCGAGAAGGTTATATGTTGTCTGTACAACATAATTCCCTACTTCACTGTGGTAGATATATAATCGTTTGTCAATCTGAGGATTAAGAGTACAGTGGTGGAGTCTAGTTTGTCAATCAAATCATAGTCAATGAGGCCTCTGTGTGGGCATGGCCTTCTGAGAATTCAAGGAAATCCAGTACTTCCTCCTTGGAGGTGGGAGACACTTCTCTTTCTCTCTGCCACTCCCTGGGAGACAATGAAGCGGACAAGACACATGGAACTA